CACCCAACGGTTGCAATAAAATTTTTACTCTACCGTCCTGTAGGCACCAAGAGGGTATTTTTATCAAGCCCATCGTTCGGCCAGGTGATGAGGATCTGACCCGACATATGTTGGGACGGATCACTTCCCGAAAAGTTTCTGATGTTTTTCGATCCGGCCGTCACTGATGAGTGATTCAACCAATGAAGAAAACAAGAAAAATTACGTACAGAAGGCACTCATAATGAAAATACTTGATTCTGTGTCAGCTGAATTGTGGATAAAGTAGAACAAATAAAAATTATTACTAAATATTCACCGATAAATATCTACAATGCAGATGAAACAGTGCTTTATTTTCGTGCAATGCCTGATCATACACGTTTAAAACATGAAAGTGCTAAGGATTTAAACCACTGGAGAGAGTATAAGGGAGAATCCGACTTCTTTTCGTTCCTGGTGAATTATTTTTGTTTAATTACGTTTATTTTGGGAATTTTGTTTAGTTTAGGACTACTTCACAATCCCGACCGGAAAGACAAAATTCAAAAGCATCTAATTACCGTTCACAGCCTTGAACGGTAATAAGATGCTTTTGAATTTACGTTCTCCAAGGTACGATGTTTCCTTGGAGAACATTATGAACCTTCCCTAAATAACAAATAGGTTCGAAATGCCAAAAATGCTACGAAATTAATTATCTATCAATAAATAAACTTTAAACAAGTTGTCATGTTAAGCTAGACTTGCTGCTAGCAGGGAAAATGCAAAGTGTAGGTCTACACTTTGCAAAGACTACAATTTACATGAGATAGGCGGCACTTTTGACATCGGTTTACTCTTTCGGTACAACGACAAGCGCTTGGAGCGGGATTGAAGAGGAAAGGATGCATTTGGTTGGAGTCTTTAGTTTTCATTGGCTGTTGGATCTCTCTTTTAATTGATTATTCATAACCCATATGCAAATAATATGTTTGTTCTAATAAACTATTGATAATTTGTATATTTATTATTATTATTATTTTATCATTAATATATTTACTAGCCCTATTAATACTTTGTTTTGAACTATCATTAAACATCATTATTACTTTTAATCTTTTTGTATTGATTGGAATAATCAATCTACTAACCGCAGTTTTTGTAACATGTCTGGATTTTTTCAACCCGTCTAGATCTGCCCCAGCAGTGCCCGCAGAATATGAAGAGGGAGAGCACAAGCTATGAAAAAAAGGGCATTGTACAGTACATTATGCAGAGTTTCGAACTCTATGATTCAACGTCGAATCAGCGCTCTCAAAAAGTGGCGCTGGTTGCACTCAGGTCTTACTTGGCCTTGAAAACAAGGAATAGGGGTTTTGGTCAAAATACGACTAATTTGCATGGCTCAATGGACAAATATCGTTCTTTAGTTTCTTTCATATTTGCAGAATAGGCTAGAAGTCACGAATTTTCTGTTGTTTGGGATCCACCTTGGAAATTAGAACGGGAAACCGAGACGGAAAGGGGGCACGTGCCCCAATGTATGGGCGTCCCTGACAGTGGCGTAGCGAACATAACTGGCGCCCGAGACACGACACTTTATTGGCGCCCCTCCCCTCCAGAAACACACAGTTTGTCTTGGAGACCATTTGGGCGACCCTCTGCGAGTGGCGCCCGGTGCATGATACACCCCCTTGCACCCCCTCGCTACGCCACTGGTCCCTGATCTGCCCGCTAAGGACCCTAACATAAGGTTTAGTCCAGTGATCAGAGCCATGGTACTTAAGCATGACGTGTAAACTTTACAGAACATATTACACTGCACCCGAAAGGATCGTATATAACTTACGGGCGCAGTGTAAAAGTGAAATGTAAATTTTAGAACTAAACGAAATGATATGGCTTTGTTGCACATTACATCTTTCATCTTCCTACATCACTAAATCTTCCAACAAAAGAATTTCTCTACTCGACACATTACATCTTTTGGCAATGTCGTGGGATATGTGTAAAGACCATTGACAATCGACAAGGAAAGTCCAATATCTGCTATAATGACATCATAAATATGCCAAATTATTATTGAAGAAAATCAACATAAAGATAATCTAAATTCTCCCCAATAAATGCTCAAATACGAGAAGTTCTCCGAGTACATTATCGTAGCCAGTGCCGGCCCGAGGCAAGTTTTAGGATGGAGCGAGAACCTATTGTGGCGCCCGCTTTGGTTGCCCCTAATTTATACCCTTTAATTTTCTTTACCACTGAGGCGCCCCTAGGACTTAGCGCCTGGAGCGGCTGCTCCGTTCGCCCTATGGTAGGGCCGGCTCTGATCGTAGCATACAATAAAGATGTATTGTATTATTAATAGGAGCGTTTTATTAATGAAATTGCATAACAATAATAGCATAGCCTGCAAATAACTACTCAAGCAATTATTAATATAATTGTTTATAAAATTTATTTTAAAGTTTATTAATTAACTTAAAACATCTTTAGTAGTTTTAACATGATTTTAAATTATCTGGTTCAAGAATTTCCACTGATTTCTTTCACCGTATAATGTTGTCACTAGGGTTTCTCATTTCCCGGTCTTTTGCTTGTCCCGGGATCCCGGGATGAAAGTGAACTGTTTCCCGGGATCCCGGGAAATCCCGGGATAAAATTAATTATTTTTAAGGTATACAAAATATCTTGAAATTAAATGATATAATTATTTTCCATTTTTTAAAGTGATTTTAAAGTTCTGTAACCTCCAAAATCATATTAATAATGCTGTGTAAGGTCTGTAGGCCTATAATAAAAATTACCTTTAAATAACGTAGAAATTTTCACAAATAGAAAAAAATTAATTAAAGTTTGCTGGAAACTGCATACAACAACAACAAAAAAAAAGTTTTGAATTGAGTTAAAAATTAAAAAAAATGAACTTCTAATTTAGAAGGTAATTTTCGTTTTTTAAATAAAATATAATACAAAATATTGCAAACTTTTATAAGATTTTAAAAAGCAAAGATGGTCAATACTCCGATAACTCACTCTAATTCTTATTTTAGTAATGAAAAGTCTTGCCACCGAGAATGCCCTTTCCGATTCAATTGATGTGATTGGAATAGTGTTTAATGCATTTAAGAGAAGACAGATATTATGTGTTTTTTCACCTGTAGCCTGGAAGATTTCGAGTTCGTTTTCGAGATTGTAGTACTTCTTTCGCTCTCTAGTATTCTTGATTTGTCTACCTTGGCTGCTTTAATAGCGGCATCAAGCTTAGAGCTCGATAATTCGGCAATTCATTTGGCTTTAATAATCAGGTTTATGAAGAAAAACTTCATACTTGCAGACTTTGTACTCGTTTGTATCCTTGCCCAATTTGCACAATCTGGCGTCAGGCATTTATTGAAGCTACTGGGCATGGTTAAAACTCAAGACAGCGTAAGCACAATTATTCCAGATATTACAGGTTCCGACAAGTAAAGAATTTTTATAGTCCTGCCACAAATAAGCTATATATTGATTATTGACCATTTGTGACATGCTATAACAAGCAAAAATTTAAAAAAAACTAATAGGTAGGTTTAAAATTAATAAATACAAATGTATTTTGACAGTGAATGAGTTAATTATGCTTTCTATTTGCAAAATTCCTCAACCTTAACACAAAATAAGAAAAAAAGTGAATTTTTAAGAAATTTGCGGGATTTCCCGGGTTAAAAAAAAAAACCGGGTTCCCGGGCAATTTGCACCATATTTTTTGACGTATGCTAGTAAATTAAAAGCTAATAATAGGTTATCTAGTCAAACATTCCATTATATAACGGAAAAACAAGTAACATCGTAGAGGTTTTTTTTGTTTTTTAAAATAAAATACTGATATAAATATGTCTTAATCTTAAATTTTATAATCTTGAATCTGATTTAATTAACCAGTTTTTACTACTTAATTAAACCAGCCCCAAGATCATAAAATATTAAAGACAAGTAGAAGAAATACTTTCTAATAATATATATATTTATTTAAATAATCTTAATATTTCGGAATGAAATCTTTTAACTTGGAAAAAATTTCTTTCATTCTACTAAGAAACATCAGTTAAATATAGAAAGGTGTACGACCGAAATCGAATAATCAATTGTCTCACTTAAAGTAATTGGTTATCCAAAATAGAATATTTCCCACTTTTCTTAATTCTAAAGAAAGTCATAAAGAACAAAAATGTATAGCATCAAAGTACTGTAAATAATTTTCTGACAGAAAAATATAGTTTTATTAGACTTTAAAACTTAAAAAAAATGTTTTATTTATTTATTTTTTAACACGAATGTATACATCAATATTAATTTTACCAAGAACGTATTTATAACCAATTTTACTTATTCCCTATTCACTTAATGATTCTCTTCTTTTTTTTCATATCAAAAAGCTTAAAATTAAACGAAATATTGCTTCTAAATACTTCTCTATCAATAACCAATAATTCGTAATTAACTTTTTCGCAGTTGTCACCATTTATCCAAATATACGAAAAAGAAAGAAAACGAGTACAAAACAGAATTGATTGATGCAAATGAGAAAAGACTGTTTTCATTGTAAATCCAGTTCAGTTGATATACTGAATACAGAGAAATTAATTAAGTCAAGAATGCAACAAAGTTTATCGAATGACACAAGAAAAATGTTTGATTTGAAATAAATTGTCTTTTATCTTTTCATTTAGAATAACAAAAATAAAATGACATTTTACTAATTTTAATGTTTGTGAATATAATTAAAAATGTTAATTATTAAATAATATATAATAAGAAATTTTAGTTAATTATTATTTTTCCGTATTATTAAAACAGTTAATTCTATGCTTTTATTTCAATTTTAAGGGAATTACCAGATATATATAATTTGTTCATTTGATCAGGAAAGTAATATTTTAATATCAATTTATGTGTTAATTAATATTAAAATATTATTTTCGCCATCAAATGAGCAAATTCTATATCTGATAATTTAATTAATTAACACACACAAATTGATATTAAAATATTACTTTTCCAATCAAACGAACTAATTCCAAACCTGATCGTTTAATTAGTTTAGTCGTTTTAACAGTGGGATGCTTTCGTACTGCTGTTTTGCATTTTAGATAATTCTTCCGTTTAGAAACAGTCAATGCGAACAACAATGATTCTAAACAATTCTTTACGAAAATTCGCCAATACATTAATATGATAATTTATATAGTTTAATTGGCAAAAATATCAATTAGAAGTTATCCACCATTTGCAAACTGATATAAAATTACAAGTATAAGAAACTTTAGTTCGCATAATCCACAATATCGAACATTTTATTTAATATAAAACAAATTTGAATTAAAATAATTAATTAAAAAGCACTTTCACTCATATGCAACTTGAGCTATTTCAAATATGAACTGTGATTCTCCGCAAGTTTTAATGGAAAGTTCATTTAGTATTTGTGAAGATTACAAGTTTCCTATTTTTTTTTACAGTTTTTCCTATGGGCACTAAGAGGACCTTTATATATATAAGTAAGTGTATATTCGGCCAAACCCATAATGAGACTGCTGGATGATGAAGGACGGACCCGATATACCCGGAACGAAACTCCTGGTTTTTTTTTTGACCCGTCTGGACTCGTTCCTGAAATCTCCAGAGCATTGGCTGACACCTTAATTGCTCGGGTATATGGCTTAATATTCAGTATTACGCGCGATCCCACTTTACACTTATTTCGCTACAATGCGATTCCGAAGATTAAAATAAGTATTGCAATTTGGGGTAAAGAGAAACTAAACATCAAGAAAATCTTGTAAGTATCTAACAACAAAAGCAACTAACAAATGAGGAATTTCTCAATCTAATAAAACATTATGTTTTGTTATGCTGGCAATCTCTAAACTTTTGATAACGTTGCCATTACCATTTATGATCTGACATTGCAATCCAAGTTAAAAAATGATTACAACAAATACTTTGTTGTTTTATTTAACGATTAAATCTCCTTTTATAAGATATCTTTTCAACTTTGAATGGAGATAATTTTTGAATATATTATTCAAAAACATGATTTCTAGATTTGGAAGTAAAAAACTGACACCATTTAAACCATGAAATTATAATGATAGATCAGTAGTATATTACCAACTTTAACTTGATTCATTTGAAAATAATTAAAATCCTGAAACTATAGTAAATAGCTAGAATATCTGTACTTCAGTCATTAATCTTGTAAATATTTCCATTCTACTAAAGTAAGAAAAATTGTAGAATTTAAGATTTAATTTATATCCAGAAAGAAAATAAAGAAAATAATGGACTGTAAGTAGCATTAAAACGTTATTGGAGTTGATAATATGTCAGAAAATTTATTCTGATGTTCTTGAATTGTGTTTGAAATACTGTTTTAAGTAGGAATCTCTGTATTATAAGGAGTATCAAAGTTCAATAAAACAAATTTAAAAATATCAGCAATCAAGACTATCTAAATTGAAAATGCTATAAATTGACAAAAGACACTTACATGTAGTGTTCCCAAATATTAAATTACGAGGTAATTTATGTTATCAAACTTCAGCTTCTTTTATTGATTGAATTCGTAAATTAATTTTTTAGAGAATTTAAAAAATTTGAAAGAATTTATATTTTAGAAAAAACTAATACAGTCGACCTCCCTATAACACTGTTGATAATTCCGTTTTATATGAATTTCGTGTTGTACGAGTCACTTAGATTTTACAAATACGTGAGCCGTTCACAACCCGGCACACGTATGTGTAAAATCTAAGTGACTCGTACAACACGGAATTATCAACAGTGTTATAGGGGGGTCGACTGTAATTTTATAATTAAAAATTATATTTTATGATTACTATGTGTATTTTGTAATTATGAATTCTTAAATACAGTATGTCTTCAATTTAACAGAGTTATTTGGGGATGAATCCACTTTTTCTGAATAACAAACTTATGATGTATAGGATTTACTTTTTTATTACTTATCTTTCCTTAAAGTTCACACACACAGTTTCCTTTAGGGCAAAAATATTTTGTCAATTAAAACTGAAGTCTATGAAATCAAGGGTCTACGGTACTATAATCTAATCCAGTAAGGTTAAAACTGATCTAGCTGTTATTGCCTATACTGCTTTTGGATTGAAAAATCATCTGAAGTAAAATTAGAATCAACACTAATATTTTTTATCCTATCTACAAAAAAGTAAATATTATTAAGTAAACAAAGTCTCTTCAATAAAAAAATTTATCATCATAAAATTCTCATTATTCTTCTTGCTTTTTGATGTTATTAATAGTTATTCACTATTACAGTTATAAAAATTTCATATTTTTCACATTAAAAATCAGTTTCAACACAATTTCACTTTATAAATACTTATCTATGTAAGTTATAGTTATATTATATAAGTCAAAACTACATATATTGAAGTTAAAAACGAATGGAAAAAATAGCAATTCAGCCATGTCTTGGAACATTCATCATGAGAGATAATTTTGGCCTTTAATACATTTTAACTATGTACTGTACATAGAAATGTAAAGAATAATGAAAATCAAGCAAGCTAAAAAAATGGTTTTTTAAAGAGATTAAGTATAAGATAAGTAAAAAATGTCTAATATCTAATAGAGTATGCCTAATCTACTTTTACTTTTGTCATGCATTATTAACATTGCTTAACTTTTAAAAAAAATATTTGCATTTTTTTTTGAGCAGCTGTACAACAGAGTCCCATAAAACATGGGGATATGTTCCACATTATAGGAAATCACAATATCAAGACATGCATTATCAGATGATCTTATGCAAGTTTAAACCTAGGCCTAAAAGTTGAAGAAGAAAATGCATACTTCTGGACAACAAAATTTTCTTTTGTATGCATACTAGTTATAATTTTTTGTTGCATTATATGGGAGTTTACTGTAGATGTGAAATACAAAATGGAAAAACACTGTTTTGACATCTGATTAGATAGGTAGCCTAAGTAAATCTGTTCATATGGCAACATAATGGTGTGCTATAAGCTAATTTGACAACACCATTTAAAAAAGATGATTTTTGTCTTATTACAATTTTTTCCATAATCAGCTGTGTTATTTATACCATTCCTCTGTATGTGCCCTTTAAATGTTTGTGACTATAGCCAAAACTTGCATTGATAAAAAGCACACATATTGAGATTTACTTGTAATAAAGTATGATGTTTGACATTTAAAAAATATTATCCTAGAAGCTGTTATAAATTTAATGGAAATCAACTCATTTCAAAGTTCAATAATCACATTTCAAAAATAGTCTTGTAATAAATAATGTTCCTGTTATGAAAAAAATTTTCATTTCACAATATTCTAATCAAAAATTTTTCATTAATAAAAATATTTGTTTTTAGAAGACTCTTTTTAAAATACAATTATTTTAACATAAAAGACATGATATTTGCCAGATTGCTCATTATTATTTTTTGGAGTTACAGTAGAGCCTCAAAAACTCGGCCTAATGTGGACCGAAGGGTGGCTGAGTTTGTGATAATGCCGGGTTATCGGAATGGGGTAAAAAAAAATAAGTATGAGTGTTTCCTCAGAAAATACTGTACTGTACTTGTATGTATTGTTTAATTGAGAATACAACAGAGAATAAACTGCCCAAATACCCTTAAACAAAGGAAAAATACATCCTTTATTAAGGCATAGAGCCTTTACTACATGAAAATGAAAATTAATGAATACAATGTGTACAGTAATTTACCTGATAAGACAGACCTCAGAAAAATACTTTATGAGAGCTTTTATACTTTTATAAAGCTGTCTATAATGAAAATTAATTAACTAAGGATTTTTTTGCCCTGCCAGGGTGTGGCCGAGTTATCCGGAGTGCTGAGTTTTCGAGACTCTACTGGACCAGTACATCTTTCATGTAATAAGCTGTATTTTTTACGTTCTTGAAACCGTGTCGGTGATTATTTTTGTTGTTTTGAACACCATAAATTGAATAAATTTAAAATGAAGATTGCCTAGTGTCTGTGTATTTACATTATATGGTGTTCAAAACGACAAAAAAGCTGCATTTTGTCAATTATAGACAGGCCTAATCTTAATGATGTTAATTAGCATAAATGGAGAATGGGGGAACAATGCTCTGGTTCAAAATAAATGTGAAATATAAAAATCTGGATTGGTTTCAGAATCTTATTCTTCATAACAGTAAAAAATACATTTTAACACAGTTATTAAGCCATGTTGATTGCTTTTTATATATTCTGAAGATTTAATTCAACTATTATGGCAAGAAAAAACAATTAGATTTTTAAAATACTATAAAATAGCATTTAAAATATTATTAGAGCTAGATCCAGGAAATACTGTCTATAAAACATTTTAGATGTATACATATACAGTATACATCAGTTTAATCATTTATATCAAAAGTATTTAATAAAAGAAAAATTTAGACTATAAATATATCTAAGAAAATCTTCTAAAGAAATACTGTAAATAATTACAAAATTTTTAATAATATTTATTTTTATGAAATACATATAAAAAGGTATCTTATTGATAAATACATGTTTATCAACATTTTTATTTTAAAATTTTTGTTACTAAGGAATATATTTAAATGTACTGTACTAACTTTAGGTGCACGATTATAATTTATTGATAAACTTAAACAAAAGTTAATAAAACTAAAAAAAATCAATTTAAAAATTATTTATAAATACTGTTTATGAATAAAAAACAACATAATAAACTTAATGAGAACAAAAAACATTTAAAGAAAATAAATTTATTGACAAAAGTCATTAAATACATTATGATTATCATCTTTTTTCACCTGCACCAATCTTTTCTCTCTTTGCATCTTTTTTCATCTTCAAATGAGTCTTTTTTGATTTCTGTTTCTTAAGTTTACTTTTTAAGATCATTTTTCTGGAAAACAATAAAAATATGTATTGTTTAAAATAACAATTATTAATTAATAATGTAATATATACAGTACTGTACATATTATATTATAATAACTTAGGAATAATAGATACTGTATTTATTGTAATAAACAGCACCTTCTAATAATATACACTCTTTATTTAAACCTTACTTTAAACTAAAATATTGCACAATTTATTCAGCATTGTCACTGTTACTAAATACTGAAATTAAGTGTAAGTCTTTAATTTCCTTTTAAGTACTTAAAAATATATATAGTTCATATATAGACAATCAGGGCCTCCTGCCTCTAAGCTTTCCATATCTGATTTTGATTTTCATACATCTAACTCCTTTACTGAGATTAAGGAAGGACAGATAAACAATGACAGTGGGAATTTTATAGGTCTACAATTTTTTGAAATTGCAGCCCAATAACTAAATTTAAGAAAACTGTTCTTATCATAATTATATCATAATTACATTCAATTTACTCATATATTTGAATGTAATTATGATACAAAGATCAGTCTAAAATATTCCAATTTCATGGAGAATTTTTAGACTATATAAAGTTTTATCATTGAAAGTAAATAATTTGAATTCAAAGTTTTATGTAACAAGTTTTTACAATCATAAAGGATTGGTGTAAATTATAGAGATAGTTATTTTCAATTTTTTAACAAAATAACTATACAGGTAATTATATTATATAATTATAACTTATATAAAACTTATGTGATAGGCTGCATTATTCAATTTCTTGCTAAATAAATTATTTATTTGCTAGGGGTTTTTCCCCTGCTTGTCCTACAGATTTTGCCTACTTGTTCAAAAATTTCCTGACAATTCACTGATTCTCAATGCAACTATTTCTATTTTTTTCCCCTGGCTGCCATAGGCAGCCCAACTGCTAAGAATTAATCTCCTATTTGTTATGAATANTTATGAATAAAAAACAACATAATAAACTTAATGAGAACAAAAAACATTTAAAGAAAATAAATTTATTGACAAAAGTCATTAAATACATTATGATTATCATCTTTTTTCACCTGCACCAATCTTTTCTCTCTTTGCATCTTTTTTCATCTTCAAATGAGTCTTTTTTGATTTCTGTTTCTTAAGTTTACTTTTTAAGATCATTTTTCTGGAAAACAATAAAAAT